CTCCTGTACATCTAAAACTGAAAAAAGTATTGAGGCACTGGAAATTAAAATAAATCTTGACATTTCTGTGATTTTTCTAAAATTACAAATATTTGTTAATTTCAGCAAAATGATTTTTAAAATATGTGCTTATTTACATAATAGAAACCAAAGTGCTTATAAAAATATGCATTCATTTGGACATTACTTGTAAAAAATTTATGTATTTATAATTAAATAAAGACTTTGCTTTAAATGCTAAAAGTATAATACATTTTTCTTACAGTAAAAAAGAAAATTAACAGATAATACAATTATAAATGTCAAATTCTCAGTAATACTCATTTTTCATACCTTTTCATAAGGACAATCACACACATAACTATTCAGATGGTTAATGTGAATATGAGAAAGTCTTAACTGCTATAACAACTGTTTTAATCAAACATTCATTTCTAACAGCTCTCCAAATTGTGTACTTCTCCTTCAATTTACTAAGAAAATCCACTAGGTGAGAAGATTGCTAAAGTAAGTAATATGTGCTTTGTATTTCTAAAAAAAAAAAAAGAAACAAAGAAAGAACTGAAAAGCTGGACTCAGAAGACAAGCACCTTTCTACTCTAATGTGCCTAAAATTGTATGCCTTGGAAGAAAGACAATCTTGTCAACGGGATACCAAGTAAAGATTCTTTGCTCAAAAATACTAAGTAGGTGGTTAGTTGTTTTATTGTTTACTCCCTAACACAAGTCATCCCTGTAACCCTGGTGAATGAAGGCAGCTCTACTTGAAGATGCCACAATTTCAATTCCAAATGAGTAAGAAGGGAAGAGGCTGGAATGAGGGAAAAAAGGCAGATAAAGAACAAAAATGTGACACTGGTATATGGTGAGGTTTAACCTCTTGAATATTTGGGTCATATCCTGGGGAGAAAATATCTGCTAAGGAGGAATATCAAGCCTCAAAAGAAAGCACAACGGCTATAAAAGTCACACTGGAAGGAACTAAGGTGTGACAGAAATAGAGAAAAGTATTGATTTATCTGTCCCAAATTTTGTTAGGAAAAGCATGTCTGTGAACCCAAATAAGAAAATATAGGACAGTAGTAAAAGTTAAGACTTAGAAAAGATTAAATATAACTTTGGTGATTCTGAAAAATGAGTATCAGATTCTCAAACAAGGTGGTTTCACTAAACTGTTTAAAATTGGTAATTTTTCTTATTTTCTTTCCTGTCACATCTTTTAAAAGCCACAGCATTGGTTGATTTAGGCTAAGTTTTTTTCTAAAATTGTCATTAACCAATTATGTACACACTTACTGACCCCAAAACTCTGTGTATTATTCCAAGCTTTCCTTAGATATTTTTAACTTTACTTCTCTTATGTGATACAATGAACTTTGTTGAATTTAGGTCTATCTTACCTTTAAAATGCATCATTATTATTAATATGTTTTCCTACAATTTTTTTCTTCATTTTCCTATGAAAAAGTCTTACCTTGAAAATCAATATTGCCATGGAAACACACATACAGAGTATATTTAAAGAAAGACAATATCAATAATATTTCTTCCACATATCTATATTAAGAATACAACACTCAAATACTAAATATCTTACTGTATATATTAAAGTTTGTGGTCTTAAATACAAAATGATAATGTACAGTACTGAATTATATAACAAATAAAACCTAATACTGTTTGTTAATTAAGTTGTTTAATGAGAAAATTTTCAAATATTAATAGTAAATCCTAATTCTGAAGTTTGTCTGATACTAGTACAATATGGGTCTTTTCTCAAGGATCATAAAGATATTAAGTACAAGAGTTTTCTCTAATATAAGTAATTAGAAATAACTTCTTAATTAATAAGGGCCTCATTCTAAATTGTAGGTAGTATTTTTATTGTACAAACTGGTTATACCATAAAGCTTCATCAAATGTTTGGAAAAATAAAAATTTTATGGTGACTCAGCTACTCTGAAAAAAGGAACACACATTTCTTAAAAATAAATAAAGTATTAAGAAAAAGGGTCTAGGCTCATGAAGCACCCTGCTTACAGCACATGCCATTACTGATACTAGGCAAGATTAAATAACTCATGAAAATACAAATAGAAAAAAACTTCTAGGAAAAAATACAGCCAGATCCTTAAGAACAGGTATTAGAGACAGACTCAAATCCTGGGTTTCTAGCTAGTCTACATTTTACATGGGACATTTACATAACCTCCTGAGCTTCAGTTTCTTCCTCAGTAAAATGGTTAATCTCACTTAACAGTAAGGATCATGTGAAAATTAAATAAAATAATGTATGTAAACATTGAGTACATATGGTAAATGGTATGCATGATAGTGTCAATCAATGATGGCTATTTTAAATAAGTCAATCTTTCCAGCACTGGAAAAATCATGTATTTTAGGCTCAAAAAAAAATAGCTGAATGTTGATATAAATCAGGATTTATTAATAGATAAGGAAAGGTCTAGAAGGTGAGATCCAGCAAATTTTAATAGGTGCCCAGGTTAAGGGCTCAGCTTTTTGTTCAGTAATCAGACCATATTCTAAACCCATGTTCCTTGATCTTTGGTTGTCTTTCTATTAAACCAATCTGCCTTTCAAATGACTCACTAGAGTTTTTTAAGATTTCTACTTTCCTTTGGATTATTTTCTTTTGAAATAACGTTAAATGTACTAAATGGATTCCAAGTTTGCATTACAATTTTAACTGAAACACACTGAAGATCATTTAAACAAATATGACTGTGCTACACCATATAATTAAAGTGGTGAATACAGTCAGAAATGGGTACACCTGAGTTTATCATTGTTTTCTCTCATTCTTGTTTTTCTTGTTGTTGTTTTTTGTTTTGTTTTGTTTTTAAGAGACAGGCTCTTACTCTTACTCTGTTGCCCAGGCTGTCAGCCTGCAGTGCAGTGGCACAGTGGTGTGATCACAGTTCACCATAGCCTTGAATTTCTGGGCTCAAGTAATCCTCACACCTCAGCCTCTAAAGTAGCTAAGAGAAGAGTACAGGCATGCACCCTTAGGCTCAGCCAATTTTTAAAAACTCTTTTGTAGAGATGGGTTCTCGCTATGTTGCCCAGGCAGGCCTTGAATTCCTGCCCTAAAAAGATCCTCTTACCTCGGCTTCCCAAAGTGCTGGGATTACAGGCGTGAGCCACCGCTTATAGTCTACAACTCTTATTTAATAAAATTATCAGATAGATAAATATTTTAATATATACAGACATATTTCCAAGGCAGCTGGTAAATTTTCAGAAAAACCAGAAACCTCTAAACATAAGATATTAAGGAACCAAGTGTCCATCTCTGAAAATTTTAGAGAAAGGAAATTTGTGGTAAACCATAATCCTTTTATACAAAAGTACATGAGCAAGTTCTTATTTATATTAAAAGTGATTTAAGTAGATGATATTTTAGAATGAGTTTGGCAGAGAATTTTGGAGTAGCTATCCCTCAAAGAAATTCTAAAGAAATACAGGAAATTGAAGAGACAGCTGTGAAATTCTTCAATTTTTGAAACTTATGATAAAATCTACAATCTGACATTTCACTTCAGCATTCATGCTTCAAATATAAAAATAAAAAATCTGAATGTAAGTTCCTAAATTGTCTTCGAATATAAGGTATACCTCATTTTATGTTTTTATAAAATGCTTTTTGTATTATAGAACAGGATTTTTCATATTTCACAAAGATCTTATTAAGCAACACAGGTGTAACTATTCCACTTCCAAGATAATCTACAAATTGCATTTCCTTCAACTATCACTAGTGAACAATAAATGGTTAGTAGGAGCTTTATATTTAAATAGGAGGGCCTGCAGAGATGGAAAAAAATGTAAGAAACATAACTAAATGAGATTGCAATAAAACCTAGACTCTAAAGCTTTTTTATAACAAGAAAGATTAGTTTATAAAACTTCACTAGATCAATCATCCTATAAATAAATTGCAATTGAAATTTTTTCCTGATTGCTTTCACTATTATTTTTTAAATTTCGATACATTTCTTGCTGGGCAGATTTCTCTTTGTTACTGAAGTATGCACACTTCCAGCTCATGGGTAATGTGCTGTCTCTAAATAAGTGTGAATGAAACAAGCCTAAAACTATCTGTTGGCACAGTAAACTTGCTGATCCCCAGATACTTGGCTTCTTATTAAACATCAAGGGAAGTTGGAACCTGGGATTTATTTATGATCCCAGGTGTTTTCTATCTCTGGGATGAGCTGAATATCTAATATGACAATGTAGGATTTCCTGAGTGATTTTTCACTAAGAAATCTCATGAATAATTAACTAGGTAGATTAAAAGAAAAAAAAAATTTTGAGATGCTGATTCTTCCTTTGGGTAGAAAAGTCAGAAAATATTCCATTTTAGATTGTTTGATTGTTCATCATTCCTGAAGAAAAACAGTATGTTGGCATCTACCATATCTGACAAAAAAAAAATTGCAAAGACACATTTCTTGAGGCGTAAAAGATACACTCTGAGGAGCGCTTCATGTAATCCTTGTATTTCCTTTCCAGTCTGCTCCCTCTGGATGAATATATTTCTAATTCTCAAAATGTTGACAGCACATGAAGCTTAGGTATAATTTTTCTATCAAATTCAAAACTTATTAATTTCTACACCATTACATATACACTTCTACTTCCTATTTGCTTGGACCTGAGGGAATGCAGGATTGGCCTAACACTCCATCAACCTTGTTCTAAATATTTTATGTACTTGCATTAATTAAGGAAATGGTGTTAGAGTAGGTATTGACGTACAGAACTATATGGACAAAAGTAAATGCTGCAGGATCCTGCAGGCAATATCTAATTCTTTTAATGGTGGGGAGGATCTATGATCCTCTCAAAATTAGCCCATTTTTTAAATTTAATTTACATGCTTATTTTATGTTTTCACAGAGAATATTTTGTCAGTGCATGCAAAACAAAGCTTAATATCCTTTCTTTTTATAAGAAAATCACAAGAATATACATACTGTAAGGGACACATTCATACTGTACTTCAAGGTATTTATAGGTTCCTGGACACGGGTCTGGAAAAACATCGGGACCTGCCACCACTGCACACTGGGTTCTGTTATTGCATCTGAAGTCAAAAAAAAGGAAAAGAAATAGTAAGTTTGTGCAAAGTTAAATAATTTTCAACATCAATGCTGATTTTATTTTAGCTCCTGATACACAGATTTAAATAAGGTTTTGGTTGATTTAAGCTTTATACTTATTAAGGAATTACCTGCAGTATACTTTTAAAAAAACTAGATATCAAAATCAACCCATTCTGTTCATTCATATTAACTAATTTAATATTTAGTTGAACACAGGATGATTGTGAGTTAGAAGTTAGATGTTGCTGAAGCAGCACTAACTGGTTCACAGGATATTGCCAAGGTGAAGAAGGATTATTTGATAGGAATGACATGTTCCCATTATAAAACAAGTATTTAAGAAATTATAAATACAGAGTTTTATTAGACAGTTATAAAAAAAATTCACTGATTATGAATGGCATTCCTTTTAAAGGCAGTGAAATGTGCTATTAAAAAGCTTTACCCAAGCCTTAAAAATTAGTAAAAATACTCAAAAATCAAAATGTACCATTTTAAGAATTCCAATTGTTTTGTGTGTTCAGCCACATAATGACAACAACCTCAGAGATTACTGATCGTAAATGCCAATGTCCTATAGTTTAAAGTAAAAACTTTAAATTTCTAAAAGGAATAATCAAATGCCATTATTAAAATATAAATACAAACTTGGATATTTTGTGGCGATTGGGGTAAACAGATCTGGGCTGAATTATTCATAGGGAAAAATACATATAATGTAATTAACATTTACTCTGAAAAAGATATCCAAGTTCACAGTGGTCTCATTACAGTGAATTTTATCCAGAAAATTTCCAGATTTAAACATTTATCCTTAAATAGATTTTTCTTTAGAAAACTGGTGGTTGTTTATCCACCCGTATTAGCACTAAGTTTAAAGGATCAGATACTCTAATTATCCCATGTTTTTATGTTCTTGTTTATTTGTTTTAGAACATAAAACCTCAGGGCTAGACTTTTCTGTTACTTTCTTAAAGAGATATTTCATTTTCTGATGTGATCTCAGAATACTTGCCAGGATACTGGCAGCATAAAGAACATCTACAAGCAGAACTCATTTTGATTTAGAGTAAAAAAAAAAAAAAATATGTTGTGTTTACCCAAGGCTATCATTTGTCTGGCTTAATGAGGATTTTATTTAGTCCCTAAATTAAATTTGATTCATTAGTGAATGTCTTAAACTGAAAAATATATTCTGTGTTATCAGTGAAAGATTAATAAAAGCCAATACTCCATACTTATCAGGCAATTTAGTGTAACAGTTAGTCCTGGGGGGCCACAAGTTGTAAAGTTCTCCTGTGTACATATAATGTCTGAGGCTGATGATGACAACTGTATGATAACATTAATGCAAACGTGGCTGTCCTCACACATACGCTGCAAAGAGGTAGCTTGATATTTTAGTGCACTCATACCTTTTAAAATTAGCAGTACTTCCCTATTACAAAAAAAACCCATTTGAAGAAGCTGCCCAAGTTAAATAGTGTTTTCAGCAGTAAAACCAATACAATTTTCACATCACATCCTGGAAAAACTCAAAAATCTATTTTGCATTTTTAATACAAAGGACAGCAATATGAACTCATAAAGTTATTTCTGCATTTTTTATTAAAACATTCAAAATTTTACTTTGAAGGCAAAGTAGAAATAATGAAAAGTGAAAATATACATAAAGTATAAATATTCTGTAAATGTAATATTAACTATGATCCTCAGTCACCGAAACTTATACACACATGTTTATATATTTATCTTTCTTTCTTGGTCAATAGTTATTTTATTCCCTATTATCAACCTTTCTAATTACCACAGCTCTAATAACAAAATTCATTTAGAAGTTGTGTCTATTCTTGTACTTGTTAGATAATACAGGCTATTATAAGTCTTTTATTATTATTTATTTATTTTGTTTTTGAGACAGAGTCTCACTTTGTTGCCCAGGCTAGAATGAGTGCCGTGGCATCAGCCTAGCTCACAGCAACCTCAAACTCCTGGGCTCGAGCGATCCTCCTGCCTCAGCCTCCCCAGTAGCTGGGATTACAGGCATGCGCCACCATACCCAGCTAATTTTTTGTATATATGTTTTTAGTTGGTCAATTAATTTCTTTCTATCTTTAGGAGAGACAGGGTCTCACTCAGGCTGGTTTTGAGCTCCTGGCCTTGAGCAATCTGCCCGTCTCAGCCTCACAGAGTGCCAGGATTACAGGCGTGAGCCACCACGCCCGGACAGTCTTTTATTTAAATAATCAATGTATGATGTCAACAGAACAGTTTACTTCTTATTTATGAGCAGGACATAAGGTTAAAATTTACAATTATGAAAGTATTTGTTGCACAGAAAGTTGTCTTGAATCAAGAAGGATTTCAAATGGTTATGTTTTTATAGGTTAAATTTAAAAACATAACCTGGACACAATATACTATATATTAATATTTATCTAGCTAGCTATCTAAAAGTATATCATCCAATTTACATATTATATGCTGTTTAAGCTATAAAATATTAATTATCTGTGTAAGAAAATTTAAAAAGTGACTGTTATACTAGTCACCATTATGAATTCCAAATCTTAATGTTAACCAAAAATGAGTAATGAAGCCTTGTAATTAATGAGATAGTATACGTGAAGAGATATACAAAACAAAAAATGCTATTACATATTATAGTCATTATAATTTTTCTGTATAAAACATTATTAATTTATAACATTCACTTTTCCAAATATATAATATTTTATTATTTCTATATCAAGTACTCTTTAAGATTTAGATTCTTAATCAAAAGGAGAAAGGTAGATTCAATCTCTGGAATATTATTTTTATATAGGATACATTATGTTAATTGTTTAAAGACTAGCTATATTTTGAAAATTAGAGTTTCAAGGTTCTGTCTTCGGTTTTGTAAAATGCCTTCAGTTACTATGAGTAAATGAAATTCACTTTAAAAACTGATCACAGATTTTTGAACATTTTACTCTGCAAAGAGTACTTTTATGGTTATTTCAAAATTTTCAAAAGTAAATTCATTCTATAATAGGTGAAAAAAGTGAGATAAAATGGTGTTCTCATACTCTTTGAACTCAGATGTTGCATTGTTTATTTTTAATAAATATAAATTAAAAATGATTTTCAGTATCCTTCACAAATGATACCAAAGATATTTTTAAATCCACAATAAACATGAGAAAAATTACAATAATATGGTCAAATGAATTGTAATCCACTAATACAGAGAAGACATCATAATCTTATAAAAATGGTAGAGGCATTTTTTTTAATTCTTTTTTTTTCCCTTTTATTTCATCATATTATGGAGATACAAATATTGTTAGGGTTACAATTATTGCCCCTGCCCCCTCCTCCCTCCCCCGATGTGTCCAATCTCCCAGTGGTGTGCACCACACACAGTTATGGAAGCATACACCCCTTTCTTCCTCCCCCCTCCTGCCTGCCCACCACCCGATAAAAAGTTTTGGTTTTTTGACATTTTGGTTATATTGCGTATCTTTGGCTCTCCCTAAGAAGGGTTAGAGTTATGCCCTTCCCCTCCGAAGTGCTCGCCACCTCCCTAAGATTGCCCCCCCCAATCCCTGGTGAGCATTGCCACCATTTGAAAACCATAGTTTTAATCAGTCAGTACCAATTTGATGGCGAGTAGATGTGGGTGGGGCCCATTTTCCATGTCTTGTGTCGCCTCGTTTGCATAACGGGCTTAAGCTTAATCCAGTATAGCATAAACCGTGCTAGCTCACAGTCGAGGCATTTTTTTATAGCGCTAAAAATTTCTGTATTTTTTCATTAGAAACTTCATGGAAAAACAATCTCTCCATCAATATTAGACATTTTCAAATAAAACATAAGCAGATAACACTGACAAAGATAGAATTCTCGAGGAAACCTCTTGGAATTTCAGTTTTCAAGTACATAATACAGGGCCAATTATTTCGTTCCCTTAGAGTGCACATGCTTGTTATAAAAATGCATTAGAAAAAATAAAGTATCATACATATGCACAAGATATACTTTTTATTCTCATTATTATCACTAGTCATTTATTTTAGAATGGGATAATACTTCATTATATATATATGCCACTGGAGAGAAATGTACAATATAGGAGAGACACACCAAAAAAGCAACAAAAAAAATTTGTATTGAGAGTAGACACAGGAGAAAACAGATTCTCTCACACACACACACACACACACAAAAAAAAAAAAACCAATAATAAGCCAAGTCATTTTTTGTCTACAAACTACTTTCCCTGGGATACCCTAAGTCCAAGATTTATAGTAACACCCAAAGTCCAAGATTTATAGTAACAATGTACTACATGTGTATAACCCTTCAAATTTAGAAAGCTTGTATGTTCATGTAAATCGTACTTGTTACTTTTTTTTTACTCTAATTCATTTATTTTTCCAGCTTTATTAAAGTATAATTGACTAAAACAATTTTTGTATATATTTTGGTTATACAATGAGGTTTTGACATACATTGTGAAATGATTAACAGAAAAAAGACAATTAACATATCCATCATCTCACAGAGTTATATTTTTCTATGTTGTATAATGAGAAAGTTTAATTCCTACTGTCTTAGCAAATTTCAAGTATATAATACATATTGTTAACTATGGTTACCATGCTAAGCGTTAGAGCTCCAGAATTTACTTATCCTCCATAATCAAAATTTTGTACACTTTGACCAACATCTCCCCATTTCTCCCACCCCAGCCTTTCATGGCCACCATTCTACTCTTTGCTTCTATAAATTTTACTTTCTTAGGTTCCACATGTAAGAGAGACACACATATAGTATTTGTCTTTTTCTGTCTGACTCATTTCACATGGTATAAGGTCCTCTAGATTCCTACATGTGATCACAAATGGCAGGGTTGCCTTCTTTTTTCAGATTAATATTCATATACACACATTATATTTTCTTTATCCATCTGTTGATGCACAGGACCTATTATGAA